TGTGTATGCAGATATCTACCTAGCTATCTAATTTCAAAAACTGCCATGTCGTTAAGTGTTTTATGCTTGAAACTTGGAAGGCGTTTCTTTTTGCTATCATCCAGAATTGAGGAGCTGGAGTGGGGTGCAGGGGGAGGAGGAGGAAGAGTTAGCAAATCTGAGTCCTAAGTCTATACCTGCATGCCCGAGTGCTTCTATGACATATTCTTGACTGAATGGGACATCTATCAAAGTTACTTATTGAGTGTTGTGTGTTTTATGACAATTTAGAGACATGATATTTCTATTCAGGGGATAAAATCTGTGTAGTTCAAATCTTCATAGAAGCAGTAACATAATAGTAATACTGCAGAATTATTTCGAACAAGCAAATATGGATTCCCTCAAAGCCATGGCAATCAGGAAACACTAGGAATTAGCATTAGCCACTAGTTCGTTTTTAAAAATTATTGGAATTTTTTTGTCGCCTTTTGTCTTTCTTACTTTTGGCTTTCTTTAAGTAAATGATAGAAATTCTCATTGTTTTTCTAAATGACACTAGACACTTGGCACTTGGCCTTTTATTTGACACATTACAATTACATGCAGCATCTGTATATATCCTGACAAGTTATCCAGACGCCCAGGTCACCTTGGCATGCTTTGTATAATTATACATCGTGTGTGATTGTGGAGCTCTATAATTTTGCGCCATGAACTTTGAAGTCAGACAAACCTGAAAGCAAATGCAAGCCCTGTTACTTGTTAATTGTATGATTTTGTGTAAAATACTTCACCTCTGTTCTTTGGTGTCCTCACCTGTGTGATGGAGTCACTGCATAAGAGGATTGCAGCGAAATTAAATAAGCTAAGCTATATCCAGTCCATATCACAGGATTAGGAACATAGTAGTAACTTAATAATCTGTTAGATATAAACACTAAGTTGCTTGGGAGAGTTGCTGTTCTTGTAGATGCTTTAAAATTGTAATTACTGCAATAGGGAGATAGCCTTGACCTGAAAAAGTCTCAATTTGCAATTAATTCCTATTTAAACTAATGGAAGAATTTTTCTTTCTTAAAACTAATAGAAAATAAAAGAAAAAACTTGTGCAAGTTTTTATATTACTCCACGCAACTTCATGTTGAATTAGATCAGAAAAGAGAGTCAACATTCAGAGAATGCCCCAAACTTCTGTTAGCGACACAGTCATTACTAAATGTAAATCTCTGTGCTCTCCGCGGATCAATGATTTCCACACACTGTCTTTCTGGTAGTGAAAATCAATCTAAGAATACGGTCTTAAATGTCTTGCTTAATTATGGGGAAGTTAATGAAATCATGCCTCTGTGCCTTCCACAAAAGCGCTGCAGTGAGTCGCTCAGACGTGCGCCCCCCGAAGCAGGCTTTGCCTACAATGTGGTTAAACAGCAATAATGGATCATCTTAATCGATTGCCCTTTATCCCGGCTAACTTTCATTGAGAAACAAAAGTGCACATTTGTTTTCCATTCTTTACCTAAAAATGTTATCTAGGCCCAAATACAGTATTTGGTTTTCGGGTGACAGCGCTTTGGAAACAGGATTGTTGTTTTTTTATCCCTATAGGCTCTTCCTTTGCTCGATCCTTCGGCCCAGAGATCGGTCTGAAACCCTGTGCCCTTCATAAGTCGCTTCATTTCAGATCAGTCATTTCATCCCAGTCAGGACCATTATAATATCAATGTATGTGACGCTCTGACCTAGGAAGTCGTCCTTTATCTTCTGGATTAAGATACTAAGAGAATATACACCTTTTTGATATCATAAGGGAAATCTGGCCAAATCAGACTACGGCCGTCTCGCTCACTCAGGGTCCAGTAGCCCTGGTCGCCCCGTGGCATACCGGAGAAGCAGCCACGTCTGGACTTACTCTTTCCAGGAAATGTGCCCCAGTGCCGTCTCACGCGATTTTATTTTTAGAGTTAGAACTTCCCTTTATCAGAGCAATAGCCAGGAAGGCCTCTGTCTCTTTCCCAGGCAATTCCATTCCATTGGGAAGGTGTTAGTCAGCAGATTTTTATAGCTCAGGGGAACTATTTCAATTTTTTTTTTTTTAACAAAATAGTTGAATAACTGGAAAGCGCGCTCAGTGTGTGTCCTGTGGCTTCACCGGGGCTGATTCACTCTGTGTGACTCTAGTGGAACAGAGTCACAAAAACAGAGGGTGGTTTTTAGCACCTGCATCCCTCAGCCCCCATTAAAACAGCCGAGATGATCATTGAGTAGGTCCCGCCCCAGATTTAAGTCATGGCCACTTGGAGGCTCTCAGAAGCGGCATTTTTCTGCCTCCAAGAAGTTGTGCCACTTACGCAGTTGTGTGGGAGTCAGGCGATCACCCCTCCTGGCTTCCTGTGGAGCAAGTTCCATTCCCGCATCGGAAATGATGCTGGCTAGGACGTCAATCTGCCACTCGGGCTTAAAGATAAATTCAGGATAAAGTGAAAATATTGAAAGAAATCCATTTTATGAAAAAGGCATCAGTTTCTTTATTTAAATTTTTTATTGTTATCTAAGAAAAAAATTTTTGAAAGACCCTGTGAGAATGGCCTTAAGAAACGAGGCTCACAGTTTTATTAGAATCAGTCCTTCATATGGCCCTTTTGCCAGTGCCAGCCCCGGTCTCTGGGGTGTTGGGGTGACCCACACGTGGCTCCCTCCCAGGCTGGCGTGGGCTGGGCCAGGGCCCCTGGCTTGTTGGCTCTGAACAGTGGAGAAAACGTGGTCCAAAATTTGTGTGACTAGGCATTTATTTTAATCATCTCATTTATTTGAAAATTTTTTACATTCTCAGTGCCGTGTAAGGTTCAGTCCCATCTAGCGAGGTTACCTGAATAAAGTCACCCCGTAAGTGCAGGAAGATGACCCCCCGTGCTGACCTGTGACTGCCGCAAGGTGTGGGGAACCCAAAGGTTTTCCATTGCTAACAAGATATTTCTTTTGGGTGTGCTTTCATTTTGATTGCATTATTTTTCTTTTTTTAATCTTTTCCTCCTTTGGCAAACTTTTTAAATTAAAGAGGCAGCTGAAGGGATTTTCCTGTTCCAGTTTTTGGAGCATATTCTATTTCCTCACAGCGATACTCTGGTGTCATCACCATTGAACTGCCGTGGGCGTCCTGATTTAATGGGAAAATCACAGGTAACATGAAGTAACAATTACTCTCCGCGGAATGAGGTTGAGGTTTAGCCAGGGAAGTGCTGTCCTCAAAACTCCCTTGTTGTTGACTTTGAGCTCCCAAGGGAGCAAGCAAGAGAATACCTGAGAATGAGACGTGACAGGGAGTCACATGTAATTTTTGTGCACTCTGACGAGATCCGAACTCTCAGCCACTTTTAATTCTTATTTGGCACTTCAAGGCCACTTTCAAAGAAACAGAAAAACTAGTTGACAGTCTAGAACGATTGATATATTTTCTCTTAGCATAGCAACATGTGTGGAGATTACTTCATCTTGAAATATTTATGGGATTCCTGAATGAGAAATAACCCCCACCCTTGAATATTTTTTTATGAAGCAAAAATATTTCTGCGTTTGTGAGGGGAAGAACTTGGCAGATATGCTGATTATCAAACTGCATTAAAAACACTTATTTTGATGGACTGGAAGCCAGATCTATCCGTCAGTTATAAGCCTGTGATAACGTCTTTACTCTGGCGGTCACCACATTTCTATGAGATTAGTAAAAGGATTCTCCAATCTAGACATGGAGAAACCAAAAGAATATACTTGAGAACTGTGTACAGATTCTTCTTTGTAAAAATGAGGATAATTCTGGTACCCCCTTCACTGGGGTATCGACTCATAACTGATCAGCATTATCTATTACTAAATTAAGCACATTTCATGAATTTCCATGCAGAACCTGACCATCCTGCTGTTCATGAGCTTGATTAAACATCGCCAAGTGTCTGCATCTATATGGTCAGCTCAGTCTTTATCAAAAATAATCGCAAGAAATCGAGGAGGTGTTTGGACGTTGCTCACTATCAACTCCATTGAACTAGCTTCAGCCCTCGCTGTGAGGGACTCTGTGCTCACACTGGAAAAGACAAGTGAAGAAGTTTCCAGTATGAATCTTCTGGCCTGTGGATGGTAGCTGGGGCTGAGGACAAAAACAAGCCAGTAATTAGTAGTTACTGTATCTCATTTTCCAAAACACACGTTTCATTGCCACAGTCATTTATAGAGAGTTTTGCCTGACAAGATTAGCTTTTGTGTCTTTTGCTAAATCACAAAAGAATAACCTTCATGTTCCTAATGTATTAAAATTGTCCAAGAATTTTCTGCAGGATACTAGCGTTGATAAGGCTGTTGGCTTGAACAATGTATAAAAAGCAAAGGCCAGTTGACATGAGCCCTTGATATTGTAAACAGAGTAATAATGTGGAATCCAAGGGTTGCCTCTTGTGAATGGATTACTTGGGTATAAAAAGAAATTATTTTTAGACGTGGCATCCCTGTAAACCCTGAAGCTTCGTGTTTTACAAACTAGAAATTTATGCACTAAATAAAAATTACCAGATGTCAGAGACGGTTGTGCCAACTGACAGATGAGGAGTGGCTCAGAGTCTGGAAGAAGTGATGCGCATTTCTTAGCCATTCAAACTCAAAAGGGGTAGTTGAGGTAAAATGCTGTTGAAAAAATGACAGTGCACTCAGGGTCCCCAGAGAGGTCACATGGGACAAATGATTATCTGGAAGTCTTTAGTTTTTCTTCCCTCAGGACTCCGTGTGTGTTTGTGGCATTGCAAATATAACCCATGTTTCTCTTCTAATTTATTCCATTCTTTCTTGTGGTTTGCTTCATTTCTTAAAGGGTCAGCAGTGACCTTATTAAAAGGATCAACCTGCACACAGTGGATTCATAAGGATCCATATAGAACTAACTGTATCACAGGATCCATCCCCTTCCCTTGCGCGGACCAGCACACCTTGGTACTTTTCATGAAATCGTCAAATGGATTTTTTTCTCTCTTTAGAAATTCGAGCTCAACTGGTGGAACAACAAAAATGCCTGGAGCAGCAAACAGAGATGCGAGTTCAGCTTCTCCAAGATCTGCAGGATTTCTTCCGGAAAAAAGCCGAAATCGAGACTGAGTATTCTCGGAACCTGGAGAAGTTGGCAGAACGATTCATGGCCAAGACGAGGAGCACGAAGGACCATCAGCAATACAAGTAAGAGGCTGTGTTGTGCCACCTTTCCAAGGCACGGTCCCGTTTGTCAGCCCCCTTCTTGGCTTCAGGACCTTCCGTTTTTGTCTTAGACGTTCAGGGATTGGCCATCTATGAACGCAACTCTCTGCACTTGTAGTCTGAGCACCAATTTATCTCATTTTATAGTCTTCTCTGGACACGTTTCTCTTTCCAATAAATATACATTTGTGGATAATTTTATATGCAAGAAGAAAAATATGTATTTATAATATCCATGATATCAACAAATAAGGAGTTGACACTGACCACGAGTAGATATTTGAATGAGTCTGTTTAACTGCTTCTCCCAGCACCAAGCTGAGGATTTCTGGAGTGATTGCTTATGAAAATAAGCAACAGGGGCTGCTTGCATTTAGCGCACCCCCCGCACCTCGTCATTACACTGAGACAGGCTGACAATAAGGGTCTTTGGTAAAACATTTACGATTGAGTATAATTAACCTTTTCATTCATTGTACTCCATTTGATTAAACACTCGTAGAGGCTCTTCTGATCATGACCTTGCAGCCTAGACCCTGGAGACAGAGAGAGGCTGGTCATGACTCCAGCAGAGGACACAGATGATGTGGTGGGGGGGGGGGGCTGTGGGGGGTGGTTCACAGGATGCCCTGGGCAGACAGGAAGTCGCAGCATTGGGGGGCGGGGAGGGAGATCAAGGGGAGGTCCTGGAAGAAGTGACGTGTCAGTGAGGACCTCATGGACAAGTTGGCCGGTTCCGGGGCCAGAGCCGGATGCTTGAGGCCGGAGAACAGCCCGTGTCGGGGACGGGGGTGGGTGTGGGCGGCCGTGCAGACAGAGCCCCGTCCCGCCGGGGTGAGCGCTGAGAGATCCTCTGCGTGGCCATAGCGGCCAGCGGGCCAGCTGGGTGGTGCTGGCCGTCCCTCAAGAGCAGCCTTTGTGGCTCTGCTGGATTCCAAGAGTTTAAGCGGAAGAACGGGCGGCTCAGGGCGGCTCAGGCCTGTGTTTTAACATGACAAAGACCAGGACTCCCGCCTGGGACCTTCCTCTGCTCAGAGAGCTTTCCTGTTCTCCAGGCGCACAGCACGCTTCTGGCTTTTCTGCCTAAGATAAATAAACAAGCAACAAAGCAAGCAAACAAACACATAGATAGCAAAAGCCAGAGACAGGACTGTGGGTTGACGGAGGATTAATCAGGGGGGGGGGACGACCCTGTGGGGGCTGCGGTCAGGCGGTGAACTGGCCACACAGGCAGGCAGGACGGGGCCCGGGAGGGTGATGTCTGGAGCCAGCACAGCCGTCGTGCCTGCAAACGCCCACACGAGATGGTCTGGGAGACACTTCTCCAAATCTGCCAGGAATGCCGAGTGAGACCCAAAGACATCTTCTAAACAGCATCTTCCTATTGCTGAACTCACAGGAAAGTGCGGGCGATTTCCAAGGGGCGAACAGGGGACGAAGGAGCTGAAAACCAGGCGGTGGTCACGTCCCGCCCCTGGCTCTGGCTGGAGAGGAGGCCTGTGCAGGGGCAGGGCTGGCGCGACGGCTCCCGCCACCCGTCCCGTCACGTTGCATGCCAGCCCGCGTCGGGCCGGAAGAGCTGCCAGCTCTGAGAATGGCTGAGGCCGAGAACCCTCTCCCCACAGCACAGGGTCAGCACGCGGAGGCCTGCCTGCTGGCCTGGGCTCCGGATTGCACGGGGCTGCAGAGACCCGTCTCTGCTCTTGGCTTTGCGGCTCTGGGTGGCTTTGGCATAAAAAGCCGGGCAGGAGCCACCCCTGCTAACACCTCAGCTACCCCTGAGGCACTTTTGAGTAAGTGCAGAGCTCTCCTGAGGGGGATACCTTTTTCTTTGTCTTTTGTTTTGTTTTTTTTTTTTTTTGGTTGACTTTAACCTCTAGTCTTGGTCCAGCATAGAAATCACTTAGCGATGGTTCCCAGGGAGAACAAAATGTCAAAGAGGCCTGACAAAGATCGGAGCCGGAGAGACGGGAGCCGTGTTATACCCCAGAGTACTGTCCTCCGTTACGTGGCGGCAGACAGAAGCCAGCCCGTCCCCTCAGTCAGTACATCTTTTTTATTGATGTCTCCTGTGTTCAGTCGAGAGCCGAACCCAGGTGTGGCTCACGCACCCTCCTCTGGTTCCCTGATGGATCAGCTTCCGCTTTTTGTGTCTCCTGGATTGTTTACTAGTTTTCCTCAAAAAAGTGGAATTTTCTTTAACGTGGGTGAGCGCAGCATCGACCGGGGCTGCAGGTCAGAGGGGTAGCCGTCGTGGACGGTACGAGGCAGCGTTAGGAAAGATTCGAAGGCAGGCTCTGGGAAGAGTCAGACAAAGCGGGTGTGAATGTCCACCCCGCCATGACGTTGGTCACGTTGCTGGACCTCTCTGAGCCTCGGCCCAGCTTGTGGGTGACAGTCGCTGACCATGAATGAGAAATGCAACAAAGATGTGGTTCAGTGTCGGGGTGGAGCGCGACGCCATGTTCCTGCTCGTCGCCAAGCCAGCGTCCATGTCTAGCATGAACCCTGCCAGCTCTTACAGCCGGGCTTCGGACCTGGCTCTCGCTCCACTGGGGGCGCGCAGTGGAGACCAGCTCTTGGCCTAAGTGGCCGCCGTGTGTGACGCCCCAGGCCAGCTCCTGGGCATCAGACTCTGACACGCTGTTGGCTTCAGCAAATGTCCGCCAACGGCTTGCTTCACCCCCTCAGCAATGGGGAACGCAGACCTCTGCCTCGGACGGCGCTGAGGCCGGTACTGCCAGGTGTCCGCCTGCTGGATGCCGTGAGCTAACTCGGGGCAGCGCTAACTGTGCGCCTGCAGCTCTGTGGGAAGCGCTGCCGTGTGCGTTAATGCCGGCGATGCTCATCGTAGACTTCTAGGTCTTGTCATCTGACCCACTCTAGGAGCGAAGCGACAGAGGCATAGAGAGGTTAAGCTCATGTGGCCGAGGTCACACGGCTGCCGAGGGCGGCTCTGGGGCTTGCGCCTGCACCGCGTGGACCCGTGTTTTACCCGATGGGCCTGTGCGCTGCTTCCCAGTCCCCCAGAGCTGCTGCTAGGGTGTTGCCGCTGAGGTTATTATGATTCACTAAGGCAGTAACCTTCCCTCCATGAATAGTATCTATTCAATATCTGAGAATACAAAGAAGCATAAAATGTTCTCAACGACTTGACCACTGTCCCCACGTGGACGCTGCGTCCTCGCTCTTCCCTGCGATGCCAGCAGCGCCCACGTGGAGTCAGGTGATTCTCGAAGTGTTGCCTCCTCTCTCCCCCTTTGGATGTCTCTGTCTCTGTCCTGATTCTTTCCTCGAGTGTCACTCTAAGCGCACCGCGTCTTCCTTCCCTTGGATCTTCCACTTCCTCGGCTTGCTCGGGGATTTTTCGCCTCCTCCGGTGATTGTCCTGCAGCCTGCAGCTCAATCATTTTCTTATTTCAAATTTCAGTTTCCACCTTCTGTTCCTGGATTGTATTTCTCAGAACGTTCATTTGCTTTCCGAGTTTTCTTGCTTCTCTCTGAGCTATTTTTTTCTAGTTTTCTTTGGATCGTTCCAATTCTTTAATTTTCATAATGATGACAATTTTGAGTTCTCTGTCTGAGAGGTGAGGAAGCTCCTCCGTGCCTTTGGGACTTGGTTCTGGGTTTGTTTTCTCTCTGTGGTGTGTTGCTCCCCCGGGGACTTGCTTGGCTGTTAGTATTTTTCTATCTCCCCGTTGCTTACTCTGGGCTTGCTCTGCCGTGACTGGGCCTCTGCTGGGTGTGGGTCTTGCCCTCCCCTGTCATTCACCAGGTGGCAGGTTCAGAGCCGGGGCCCCCGGAGCTGATCCAGCCAAGCTGGGCCGCGGGGCCCCTGGGGTCCCTGGGCCGGTGGGCAGGGCCTGCAGCTTCCCGGGGGCTTAGAGCCACACAGGTTTTCTTTAAGGATTTTTGCAAACTGTCCAATGCCATTTACATTCACTTTTAGCTTAATTATTAAAAACAAAAAAACAAAACAAAACCAAAAAACCCAAGGAGTTACCAACCTGAAGTAGTGTATCGGGTTAAACAGGCACGTGGCAGGTTAAGAGAGACTTCTGGGGCCTATTCAAAGCCTTGAGACAACTCTACAAAGTCCTGGCTCCTGGAAAGGCTGTTTGGGAGGCCGGGGGCCGTGGATCACGGGATTAATAAATACCCTCAGATTTATGTTCTGTGAAAAGCATCCCTGGCCAAATCGCTTTCCCAACAGCAGACTGAGCCGTCAAAGCAGGCGTTGTGCGCCGTCGAGGGCGCCAGCCAGTGGCGTCTACGTGAACACGAGCTGCTTCCCTCACGGGGTGTTGACGGCTCAGCACCCGCCTGCGTCTGTGCTGGGACCCGCGGCCCAGTCTGCGGTGCAGGTTCTGACCCGTGGTGTTGGTCCGGGTTTTCCCTCCCCAGCCTGGGGGCTCTGAGTTTGTGCTGGTGACTCCCCGCGGCTGCCCAGGGCCGCTCTGAAATCCACGCTGACCCTGTCTTCCTCCGTTTCTAGGAAAGACCAGAACTTGCTGTCTCCCGTGAACTGCTGGTATTTGCTCCTGAACCAAGTGAGGCGAGAGAGCAGAGACCACGCCACCCTGAGCGACATCTACCTGAACAACGTCATCATGCGGTTCATGCAGATCAGCGAGGACTCCACCAGGATGTTCAAGAAGGTAGGCCTGCCTGCGACCCGGCCGCGGGGCCGTGCGCTGTCCGGGCTCCGTCGCTGCCAGGTGGAGGAAGAAACGAACGCGGGTTTAAGGCGGAACAGCCGGTCAGGCCTCGGCAGGCGAGCTGGCAGAGCCGAGCCCCCGGGCCAGCGCACAGCAGGAGCAAAACCTGAAACCGCGCTGTCCCTGCAGACCGCACCTCTGTGCAGGCCACGGCGCCCTGGGCCGCCTCCCCCAGCGGTGAGGCCTCTGCCCGAGAGGACGCCCCTCCGAGTGGGTTTGGGGCTCGCACGGGGTCAGGGACTCGTGAACAAGATAACCGGCTGCGCTGCTCTCTCGGGAGACCCTTATCACGGCTTTTCTCACCCCGCCAGGCCGGAAGCCAGAGGTGACACGAGGACCTGTCCCCAGAGCACAGAAAACTCAGGGCTTCTTCCTCCCCAAATCCAATTGGCAAAAAAAAAAAGAAGGGGGTGGGTTTTTTAAAGCTTCTTTATCGTTGTCGCTAGGCTCAGCCAGCTCTCAGCAACTTTTTTGTCACTTGGACATTTTTGTTGAGAACAATAACAAGATGAGACTGTTTCCTGCGCAGCAAATGCAGCTCCTCGCTCAGAGCTTTTAGTTTTTATATTTGTAGGACAAGGGTCCCCCCCCCACCCCGGCTTCCTCGCCGTGGTCTTTGCTGCCCATACAGCATCTGTACTTCCCGTCAGCAAATGATTATTAGCTTCAAAAAGTAGGGGGAGAAGCACCTTGTGGATTACTGACGAGTTTCTATCTCGAAGGGCCCTCTCGGAAACAGAGACGCAGTGCTCAGCCGGCCGGCTGGGAGACCGCTCGGTCACGTTTGATGTAGCCACATGGGTTTTGATTTCTGCCTAGGAAGGGAGTCTAGCAGACTGTTTTCTTTTGCTATTTTTTTCTATTTAAGGGGGAAAAAAGATTTCAAACAAAGGAGAAATTTTGAGATTTGGAAACAAATGGGTTAAGAAGAGAGTGGAGACATAGCCTGTGTTCTTGAAAGTATTTATTTTTAAAAATAGTCCCGATGGACCGTGAAGGTGAACTTTCCTCATGCGCCAGACGACTCAGCCAGGTCCTCACTTGGTTCAGCGTGTTTTGTTGTTGTTGTTGTTTTAGCCTCTTCTATGAGCACATGATGCGGTTAGGGCTGCACAGACGAAGAAAAGCTCGTCCTCTTTCAAGGAGGTCACGGCTTATGCACATTTTTCTGGTGCAGGATGATGCCTCCCGGCCGTGGGGGCGCGGGCGCCTTGCAGCCAGGGCTTCTGAGACCAGCACCTCAACTGAGCTAGTTTATTTATCCAGCCAACAAAACATTTTTCAAATGCCCGGCTGAGGAAGCAGAATTAAAAGACTTGTCTCTGCCTGCAAGGAGCGCATCATAATAATTAACAGTTACCGTATGAAAGGAACGCAGACCCCTGTGGGAGCCTGAAGGCTGGAGATCTCAGCCCCTCTGAGGCGTCAGGAGCCGTCTCACGCCAGGGCCCCCTCGAGCGCGCTGGCAGCAGCTCCGCGGGAGGAGGTCGTCAGACCGACAAGCGCAGGGCGCCGTCGGGAGCGCGAGAGCAGAGCAGGTTCAGGGGCAGTTGGATGTCGCTGGCCCAGGGCGCGTGGGCGCGGGTGATGAGATGTGAGGCCAGAAAGGCCGTTCCTGCAAGGGGCTCCGCACGTCTCGCCGTGACGTAAGGATGTGTATTTTGTAAGTCAAGGCTTGATGAGACGGATCCGACGCCCAGCACTAAGGGTGAGATGGAGCTGGGCGTGCGCCCCAGAGCTCCCGCTGACTGGCATGCGGCCTCGGGAGGCAAGGAGCCCAGAGCTGGTGGGCAGGGCAGGCTGGGCAGAGGGGGACACTGAGCTGATGGACGGGCCGGAGCTGGGACAGGTTTTTGGGTTTGTTCTCGGAGTCTCTGAATTGAGCTGCACTTGGGGAAGGGCTGAGTGACCCTGGCGTGAGTGAGTCCCGTTCGCGCAGGGTAGTTCCCAAGGGGAATTCCCAAAGAGGGATCAGCTGGGAGGTTTAGCAGGCGCAGCCAGCATGCCCAGGAGTTGGGGAAGGAGCCCCCGAGTCTTGGAGAGAGGGTCTGGGGAGTGAACAGTGAACACACAGACTCACCCCACACCCTCCTTACTGACTGCCTGGAGGTTCTCTTCTGGCCCAGACTTTCTGGGACTCGGCGAGTTGCAGTCCTGGAAACCGTCTGTGTATACAAGGCCCCGGGTTGCTGTGGCCTGTGAGATCTCATGACAAGCAGCACAGTGATTGGACAGACAGCACGCGTGCCTGAGCGTGCAACAGGCGCGCAACACAATGATTCGGTATTTGCCTCTCGTCAAAGTTAAGTCTCGCCCACACCCATCGCCTGCGTTGACTTCGGTGCTGCAGACTCTCTTCTCACGCCGAACGTTTGCTGACCAGATGGGGAAAAAGTTAGCTGACAGTTCCAAGTGTCCCCTTCCACCTCCCTCAAGGAGACCCGGCAGGCGAAGCCCCAGCTCACGTGTTCTTGCTGGGAAAAGAACAAGAGGTGCCAGTTTTCAAAAGGGAGGGACCGCAGCCCGCTGAGGAGCCAGACCTCAGTGTCACCTGCCGCCGCGGGAAGCCCAGCTCCCCGGCAAGTCCAAGTGACTTCAGGCTCCTTTGGATGCCAAGGCAAGGAGAGGTTTTCTGCTCTCTTTTTCATCGTCCAGGCTTCCTCCCCAGCTGCTGTGGCCATCAGAACGGCCGGGGCACCCTCGGAGTGTACATTCTGGTCCGGGGAGGGAGACTAGAACCTCGTTTTCCAAGAAAACCCCGCGAGTGTGGGGGTCCGGACGGATGCTGGGTGTTTGACAGGCTCCCCCCCCACACACACAGCTGCATTTTACTCCGTGTCGTCAGCGATAGAGAGTCCTTCTGGCCGAACTATTGGAGCAAATAAATTCTAGGAAATTTTTGTACCCAAATAGCTCTCGTCATCCGGGAGACTCTTCTAGGGATCCCGAATCCCATGAACAGGCGGAGGGAACAGCTTCTCGTCTTAAATTTTCATCACCTCAGAGCCTGTTTGACTGAAAGTTTCAACAGGGAAAAAAGCTGAATCTTTTAAAAATAGCAATATCTGATTACTAAAATATTCACTACTTCAGATGTAGGCCTTTAGGGTGGTAAATGAGCCTTGTCTGGATCACACCCAGTCATCTCCGAGACGCTGAAACCAGATGTTTGGGTCTGTGTCTTGGCCGTGTACACGGGGGCATATTTGTAAATCCTTGAGCCTCAGTTTCCACGTCTGTGGAAGGGCCCCAGTGACCTCCTCCGGCTGACTGCACGGGCGTTCGTGACTTGTGCTGAGGTGGGAAGCCACTTACTGTGTGGACTTAAGTTCTGGCTTTTAGCTGCAGCTTCATTGTCTCCTGCCTTGTGGACCTGCCCTGCACCCGCGGGATGATGTCACGTGAGCTGACGCTAGACGTTGTACCAACGCTGTGTTGTTCTGAGGAGGACGTGGGGCTCGCCGTGCTCCACAACCACACGTTCCTCCTCATCACTCCTTAGACCTTCCAGACCCTACTTGGGCGCCGTTCAGAAGTGCCCTCGCCGCACCCCGGCTTGGGAGTGACTCGCGGTTGGGGTGCTCACATTTGCACGGTGAGCTGGAGCCGGGGGAGCACTGAGGGGCTGTGCCAGGCAGCACCCCCCGCCCTGCCAGGCCGGCGTCTCACGTGGGGGTCTTCTCCCTGATGCTGCCTTCACCCAGCACTCAGCCGTTCCCTTCTAGACCCCCGCCGGGCTTGGGCAGGGAGCGCGACAGGACAGGGCAGCGCCCTTCCCTCTCACGTTCCACCTTGTCCTCTTCGGAGAGTCAGAGACGGAAAACTCCTCGCGCAGACAGTTTGGAAACCCTGGCTTCTTCCCCAGGGAACGGGTGCTGAGATGCCCTGCCCTGTCCCGCAGCGATGAGTCTCGCCCCGTCTCTCCATCACTCCCCCTGGCAGCGCGTCCCGCATCTGGGGGTGCTGCAGCCGGGACAGGTCCTGCCAGTGGCCACGGTCGCGGGGCAGCCACGGCCGACTCGCAGCAGCGCCTCGTGTCAGCGCCTCACCCCGTGGTCGTGGTTCATTTTTCAAACGTTACTCGACGCGTGGAGTCGGGCGGGAGCCTGGAGAACAGGGGCGCTGGGACGTGTTAGATTAGCCGTGTGCCGTGAACTGTCTTGAGCTCGGTCGTCTCCCCACGGATCATGTTCGTCACCAGTGGTTCTGTGCCCCGACGTGGCGGAGGAGCCCTTCTTCTGCTTCCTCCCCGCTGGCAGCATCCGGGGTCCCCCTTCCTGCACTGTGTGCCCCTCTGTGCTCCGCAGCTCTCGGGCGCTAGCCCAGGCGTCCCCACAGCTGCCCGAGGAGCGGGCGTTAGACTCCACACTCCAGGGGGGAGGAAACACCCGCCCCCCGAGGGGCCCACACAGCTTGGGTGGCTGTAACTTCTGTGACCGCCCGTGGTGACTGGAGTCCCGCTCGGGGCGTAGGTCAGGAACTTCTGAGAATCGGGGCGCTGCTTCTCTCGGTCCCGTTCATACAAAAGTCCTGCAGAATGACAGAGTCCTGAGCGGGCCGCGGGATCCATCTGTCATCCCGGGGGTAGGCAGGGACCCCAAGCAGCAGAGACCGGCCCGGCCACTGAGGATTACCCCGCGTTAGTGTCAACGCTGTGGATTATCAGACTCAGGCGCGTGGGAATTAAATTAAACCACTTCGGTATGGCCGGGGACGTGGCTAGTCTGCAGAGAAGGAGCGATTCCTGGTAGGATTGGGAAATTTGTCGTCATTTTTCATTTCGATCAAAGCCAGCCATGGTCTATTTGCAGACTCCAATTTGAAAGAAAACAAAGACACGGAGGAAGAAAAAAACCGTGTCTTGGAGTAGACTGCCAAAAATAGGTTAATATTCAGACACGCATTTTACTGTAAGTTAGTGAAAGAGGCCAGATTATTCG